CCTTCCCTTCCCTTCCCTGTCCTGTCCTTTCCTTTCCTTTCCTTTCCTTTCCTTTCATTTCCTTTCCTTTCCTTTCCTTTCCTTTCCTTTCCTTCTTTCAGATTTGACCAACCGATATAATACCTGTGGCTTTCACCACAACATTATTTACTTACGCAGAACACTTTGGGTTATCCTACTTTAATGAATCTTGAGTCCCATTGTGACCAGAACCAAAACACCTACTTTGCTCATACTATGTTTCTGTTCAGGCTCCGGCAGCCACAGAGGACAGAATGTGTTTGACATTCAGCCAGTGGCTTGTTGCAAAAACGTCTCCATGAGTTTGTTTCTATATGTCGGGGCTAACAGGATAAAGCACAAGTCAACTTGAACTGAACCGTTGCTAAGATTCTTCTGTTTTGAGACACCTCCCTGTATTTTCTCTTGGTCTTATATGACTGCAGGGAAAGCCACGGCACCACCTGAAACTCTGTTATGACTCTTTTACTCCGTGTGCAGTCACATGCCAGCAGATTTGACCGTCTGATAGCTAACACCCCCCTGGCACTTGGCTCGGTCCTTGCACGTTCATCTGATTAAGGAGCCTCCAGCTCCAGCTCRCGAACAAAGCTCTTCCTGTGTGTGCAGGGTGAAGACGGTGATCAGGTGATCCCAAAGGCAGGAGAGTCGCTCTTGGTTCTGGGGAGAAGGTGTAGGCAGCAAGAAGGCAAAAATGGGTCACCTGGAGGGGAGCACGAGGAGGTTAGCAGCAGGGATGGATGTCTGGAAGTTACATCAGAGCAGAAAGAGGAAACAGAGAGAGAGAGAGAAGACAGTCGTGGGAGAATATATGACAGAGATGGAAAGCTACTGACAACACTGAAGAGAAGACAGGAACACCCAGAGAGATGAAAGAGTCTCAAGCTGGAGCTGCACACGAATGTTTCCTAAAGGTGTTCATACTGAAGAGAAATAAAGGACATGGGTGAAGTTTGAAGAAGTTCGGTTGGCATTTATCAAAGGTGAAATGAAGGGCTAAATGTGGTATTTTGATGTCAGTGTGCATATTTTTCATCTAATGTGGTTAGTTTTAAACACTTGATTCATCTTTTTAATTAAAAAAACAGTTGCTGAAGTGTTTCCATTCTCTCACACTCTGTAGTACGCTAGCAGAAAAGTGTGAATTCAGGCACTTCTCTTTTTTTTGCAAAAGCAAAATCTTACCGTAAGTGGGTGTAGAGTTGCCTATTAAATTTCCATTTTTCCAAAGAAAAAAAATCATCACTCTGATTCACACAATTTGAAATCAACAGAGACCAGACTGACAAGCCCTAACTAGAGAATTTGCATTTCTTGTGAAAACGCTGAAYGCTTAAAGCTGAAAGATTATTGCTGATTAGCTAAAAAGCTTATTAGTTTAAAAATAGCTAAAAAAGTAGAAATTAAAAAACCAAAGGAGCACTTTTGTTGAATTAAGCTGTAAGAAGCTGAAATTATTACAAAAGATTGAATTAGCTGAAAAAAGCTCAGAAGTAGCTAAAAACATAAAACAGCTTAAAACAGCAAAAACAGCTGAAAGAAGCACAAAAAGGTTTAAATTAATAGAAAACTAGCAGAAAATGTCAGAATGGAAGCTAAAAAAAGGTAGGAAAATGTTTAAATAAGCAAAACCGAAGCCAAAGRATACATAAACAGTAAAGACTTATGAACATTTTAAAGGGTTTTAAAGATGTTGAAAACAGCTCCATTCATTTTCAATTAGTACAAACATGGCAGAAAAAGCTAAATATCTCAAAAAAATAAAGTGCTGTCGTACCAAAAACTGGAATTTCCTGAAGGAGAACGTTTTGATACATAACTTGTTGAAATAGTACAAATAATGTGGAACGAGTTATGTGCCAAAAAAAAAAAAAACATGCAGAAGAAATAAATGATCTCGATGCTTTCTAAGCATTGTGGGGTTCTTTGGAAATGAGCTCAGTTTTGGAAAAACATGTATTTTTTACTATATTTTCATGGTTATTTTCAATCCCATGCAGCAGCTAGCTGTAACACTTCCAGTGTTTAGCCTGAGGCACTTCTTGAAGAAATTGCAAATTTCTGTTAAAATAAACATTTAATGTGACATTGAATTGGATAAAAAAAAGGTTTAGGGTTTTTTTTTTTCAATCCGAGATCATGGTCTTGAGATGGAAAAGGGTAGGTTGCCTTCTCCGGGTCGGGGAGGAGGTCCTGCTCCAAGTGGAGGAGTTTATTATCTCTGAGTCTTGTTCATGAACGAGGGAAGAATGGAGCGGGAGATCGACAGGCGGATTGGTGCTGCGTCTGTTGTGGTGAAGCTCTTGGTTTACTTGTCGGTCTACATTCCTACCCTCATCTATGGTCACGAGCTTTGGATAGTGACTGAAAGAATGAGATCATGGATACAAGTGGCTGAAATGGGTTTCCTCCGCAGGGTGTCTGGGCTCTCCCTTAGAGATAGGGTGAGAAGCTCAGTCATCCAGGAGGGACTCAGAGTAGAGCCGCTGCTCCTCCACGTCGAGAGGAGCCAGTTGAGGTGGCTCATCTGGTTAGGATGCCTCCTGGACCCCAGATAAGAGGAAGAAAATGGGCTGACGGACGAAAAAAGGTTTATGAAACATTTCGCTTAAACAACTATCAAAGGTTTTCAGACATCAGGCCTTTCCATCATTCTGTGTAGCTATTAGCTCGTCAATCAGATCAGAATTAAACCCTTTTTTCACCCAGAGAGACCTCCCTCAGCTGTGCTAACGCTCAGATAAACCAGTGAAACTAAACTTCTCAGTCGTTTAAGTGCTGACGGCTTCCATTGCAGTGTTTCAGACAGCTGTTTCTGTCTGAACTGTGAGCAGGAAGAGAAGCCGATGTGACGCACGCCACATCCTGATGATTTGACCCTGAAGGTTATTGTGGCCTCCGGGTCAGGACGTGTGTGTGTGTGTGTGTGTGTGTGTGTGTGTGTGTGTGTGTGTGTGTGTGTGTGTGTGTGTGTG